ATAATAACAATAATGAGGGAAGTGAAAACACCTGGGGATAACGAGCTCACACAATTGAATCTGAATGCAACAGGGGAAGTACAACTAAACACACTGAACATGGAACACCAGACCCTTCAAAGTAAAACAGGAAACAGCAGAACGTAGACAAGACAACACAAGCTTGACAACAAGACATTACAAATAACAGACTTCACAGGGGAAAGGAAAAGACTCATATCAGGAGACATAGACGAAACATAAACTAGTTTAAATCCATCAGTTTAAAACAGATGGATTTTGAGCTTGGATTTTAAAAGTGGTAATTAATCATAATTCATGTTATCAGAAGGTAAAGAGTATAAAAGACTAATATTAGTGTTTTATTATTAATTAGATACCGGATGACTTTCTATGGGGAATCTGTTTTGTACACGGGTAAATAAATTGCTATAAAATAGAGTCTCTGGATCTCATTGTCCCTCTCTTTCTGTGAAACTACTTATTAGTTAAGAATGGGGTTAACTAAACCCACATGGCTAATATAGTTAGCATCTGTTCCTAACAGGCTCATTCAGGCAGGCCCAGTTCATATTGCACTATTTATGTCCCTCCAAGTCAAATAAGAGCAGTTAACTGCACTCCACTGAATGATTTCAAAGGTTATTTCCCACTTACATACTGTATGCATGTTTATATTTATATTTTTTGGTCCCTTCAGATATCCGATGTTCTAAAAACCTACATCAGCCATGTTTGGCCATTTCATTGCTGTATTTCCCTTTCAGCATTCAGGTTTGAACGCTGTCTGTAAACTTACAATGTGATGTTTTTATGTTAATGTGGCTGTATTAGAGAACTGCTAAGCACATACTTACTTGCTGTGCATTAAAAGGAAGTTTCGTCTCAGGTTAGATCACAAGATGCAAGGCACACACATTGAATGGTTGAAAAACAAAAACATGTGCCACTTTCCAAAATGTAGTTAATCAGATCTTTTTACAAATTTACAAGAAAACCTGCAGCGGATCTCGTCATATAAAGATGTTAATTCTCTTGCTTTTGTCTAAGTCTTAATAGAAATTATGATGTCTTACTTTAAATATATGGTACTGTGTAAAACTTGCAGGCAGTTTTAAAAGTAATTTCATATAAACATATTTTTTTTAATTTAGCAATAAACTTCATTTAAAGTGCAGTAAACACAGAAAAAAATCAAATAAAATCACTCTTTGTGAATATAATTTATTTCGAGAAAGGTACCACTCCTCTTTGGTACTTCGTCATGCAGTATTATTATTATTATTATTATTTTATTTTTTCATTTTAATTTGCACAGGTAGGTTGTCCCAAGCATCCTAAAGACTTTCCTTGACTGTTTTGTGGATTTAGGCTTTCTCGTTTTTTTCTCTTCATGCAGTTCTCGACATCTGATCAGATGCCCCTTTACATTCTGCACAGTACTGTATATACATGAATAACATATGCACTTTTACAGTTTTCTAGCTTGTGTTTTTTTTTAACAATAGGCAATAAAATGTCTATTTTCATTTGAGTTTGACACTGTTCCAATGTCATCTTTGGAGAAGGTACATAAATTATGAATGTTTTCTCCACAAGGGGTCTCTCTTGTCATATCCTGCTGCTACAGCATGGCAGTTTTTCCTGTCAGGAGACTGTAACATGACCATCCGAACTCCTATGTGAGACTGAGACACCGCTGCACCACTCAGCTATAGTGTCCTCTGATGGGACAGTCATATTCACAAGACAGTGTCCTCTTTTTGTTTACATTTCTACTGGAGGAAAAGACACATGGGGAGCTTTGCTGGTACAACCTACAATCACCTACAATGTTTCTTGTACATACTTTTTTCTTTTTTCCTTCTGAAATGTACATTTATATCATTTTGTTATTTTAAAACTATGTTGTTAGAATAAAACAGTTATTGTAAGGAAAAGTAGGCTGTGCGATCACGTTGTCAGTTACTACTTTGTCTTGTCTGTGAAATTGCATTGATGCACTGTAGCCCTCTGCTGGTGGAGAGGTTGACAGGCCACACTAAAAACTGAAGATGGAAAACAACCAAGAGAACACAATGTAGTGACTTTTTACTCTTTAAAAAAGCCACTATAGTCAGACTTTTTAATGAACTATGCTTTACATTAATCTCTATGTCTATGAGTGCCCATCTTTTTGCATAATTATAAGAACTGTAGGTTAATGAGTAAGAAAAAGCATATAAAAAAAGCCTCATCACTAAGGAGCAACACTTGGAGAGCTCTACTTTAACCTCCACAAAAACAACTTACAACTGTTAAACATGTGAAGTGTGTTTGTTTGTTTGTTTTTTACAGTCAAACCATTTTTATTAGCAGGGGATTAATTGAGACCTTAATAGCAGGTTCTATGTTGAAAAATATGCATTCAGTGACTTTTTCATGCATGAGTGTCAGTAGATTAAAAAGCACCCTGTTTCCGACATGGAGTGGGACGATGGGATTTTTGATTTATTTGCATTTTATGTCGTTTCATTCTGCCTCACCTAGCTGGAGATCACCTCTGCAAATGCATGTTTCTAGTGCCTGTTTTCTTGCCACCTGGTTTTCAATGCTACTCTTTTTTTGGTTGTTTTTTTCTTCAGGCCCTAATGTCTAGTAAACCAAATTGGTTAAGGTTGGCAACATTTTTTTAACAAGTAGGATTAATCCAGAATTTTTACGTCAAATAATTAGAAAACTGTAAATCGATCTGTCACAATTAAGAGCCAAACACCAAATGACATTTAATTTTGTAGATTTTGTGCTTGCATTTTACTTTTGATTGATTAAATAAATCAGCTTTGCAAACAATTGCAGCCACCATTTCTTATAAAAATGCAAAGGTTAGACACCCTAAGCATTGCAAATCTTTTTGGAAATATTTATTTTCTTTTAAGAGAGGTACAGCATTTCTAGTTATTACATACTTCTTGAAAGAAGCTTTTTATCTCTTCCTTACAGACTGTGATAGGCGATAAAAATCCACACTGTACGCAAATATCGAGGACTCTGCTGTGCGGAGTTTATCAGCTTTGAAAATTAGGGAAATGAGATCAGCTTGACTGACCTGAAAACTTCACTCTTGACTGCAGCTTTATGTTGCATAATAAGATCGAGAGTCCACAGCAAAGCTAAAAGCTCTTTGGGGGATGTACCGAGCCACATAATGGCATTGTATGTTGTGTTCGTACAATTCTCATTCTCAAATATATATATTGTTTATAGGTTTATATTTTTCTTAGTTTGTTTATTTATTTTACTGTATATTCCATTTTTTATTTTCAGTTCACTCTAGTTTCAGTTAGTTTCCAGAGTTGATTTGGTCGTTTCAGTTTAGTTTTTTATTAGTTTCAGTCTTAGTTTTAGTTTTATATCATTATAACATGGGTGGCATTCAGAAGTTCAGAACATTTATTACTATGCACATCATTTTAATATCATTTAGCCAACCACTCCCAAAACACGCCTGTGTTAAAGCTTCCTGATGCTTGTCGGGTTGACAAATTTGTGTGTAGTAAGAAGGACTAAAATTAACAAAGACTGAGATGATCAGGTGTTTTGAGCTGAGTTTAATTCAACAGTACCTTTATTTTTTTGTTCTTTTTCATAAGTTCATAACTTATAAAAGCATAAACAGTCCTCCAACTCTTACCCATTAGTTGAGCTTGTGTGACTCGAGGCACAGAGAGGGGACTGGCATGGCCTTCATTGGCAGAAGACTAAAGAAGTTTGTGTGTTTGCAATTCATTCCCCCCAAAACAATAACATTGTGTTTCTTAAAATCTCCATCTAGTTTTAAGAACCACCACTGCATGTATTAGTGCAACTAACCAAACCATCCTGTAACAAATGACAGTCACACAGACGGTTTTCTGTCTAACATCACTGGGTATTTATGCCCAAAAGGAGGCTTTGGTTTACAATTAGACTTTAGGCCAGGGGTAGGCAACTCCAGGCCTCG